CACTTCCCTGACTTTTATTTAGATCCATTGGGTTCCTGTGCAGGAACCAGATGTTGCATGAATTTCCCAGGAAGACACAAAAGAAACCCGCCTCCAAGCTGAGCAGGGCCAACAGTCCAAAGAATGACCTAGATGCATCCATCTTGGCAAGTAGCTGAGTTTATTAGGAGTTACTACAGAACAATGGACAATTTGCAGGCTGCAGCACCACTGAAGTCACCAACCTTCCTCTAAGCTACTGGTTTTATAGGGCTCTAGTTAAAACAGCAAATGCAAGATCAAAAGCAAGTAGTGTCCTTGGAAAGTTGTGTGTACTCTGTTCCCATCTCACCCTTATCAGGAAACTCCACCCATCTCAGTAAGCAAAGTGCAGTCACACTGATGGGTGACTTTGTGCTGCAGTCTGTATATGGCCTCAGTACAGGGGTGTGGGGCATCTGAACAGCTTGGGCAAGGAAATGCATCATGAAATAGTTACTTTGGTTAGGGTTCCTAGAATGGTTTGCATTATGTTTTAGACGAGTAAGTTAGAAAAATAGAGATATGCCACACTCTGTGCCAGATTCAAACCCATTTATTATAGCCAAGAGGAGCTTGTGCCCAGAAAATTCTCTCAGCAATGGGAAGTGGTTTGATTTCTCCTTTTAAATCATGCTTTCACTTGGGGAGGGTTGAGGGAAGAGTAAGTGTAATCTTATAGTAGTTCAACCATGCCTGGTTGGTGGGGGACACAAGGAAGTTTCACTGCACTAGGTGGACTACAAAACATTCTGCAAATGCAACAAGTTTACTACCAAACAGGATGCAGGGGTTTGGGTGCTTTGTCCAAGCACAAGCACTTTTTTTCAAGCACAGGTACAAAATGGCGTTGAGGCAAAAGATGGAGTCAGGTTGGCTATCACATTCCCAAAGTAAAGCATTGACTCAATGAGAGCCTCTTGATTGGGCAGGGGATTATGCAAGGGATTGTAATAGGATCTCATATACCTCCTTCAGTTTAACAGAGGCTACACACTGTTACAAATTTGATTACCTAATTAAGAATACAGGGGCCAATCAAGAGCCCAAAAAAAAAAGCAGGATGAGGGGACCAGCCAGTCCAGTGATAAGGGCAGTTACCCAAGGCTCCATGTGAACAGGTTATGATGCCATGAGATTTTACTTCCCTTCTCCTTCTGACACCTAACTAGATTTTCCTTGACCTTTTGAAGGATATCGTGGATTACACCAGGTTTGTCGACATAGAAACAAAGTCACGGCTTCCCAGGTTTATGAGCTAATAGTATTTGCTTCCCCAATCTCTCCTAACTAATTTACTGAGAGTGATCTCGGGCAACCTGAGAAGTAGCAGGGGCAGATGGTGCCAAAAGTAATATTACCTAGAATTTCTCCGGAGCTAAAGGAGGTGAGGAAAAAGGAGAACAACTCTCCTCATTGCATTTCCCCAGAGTTCAGCCTCATCAGTCCAAAGACAATAAGGACAAGTGTCACAATCATGATCAGACTAGCCTTAGGTGTAAAGGATCAGGTCCCAACTCAGCAATCCACTGTTTCACCTGCTTGACACACAAATGGTGAACCCACATCAAGATTCCGTCTAACTTGAGAGCCGAGGGCATCATGAGTATGATCATATAGGGTCCTTTCCAGGCTGGAGCCAGTCCTTCATTCCAAAAAGCCTTGATGAAGACAGTATCCCCAGGTTGGAAGAGGTGGCACAGTGTAGAGGTAGGCAGGGGCTGAGTAGTTCATACCTGGAAGTGAACTGTTTTCTGTGCCTATTGGAGAGACTAGAGATACTTTAACAGGGACTGGTTAGAAACTTTTCCAGTACCTCATTTTTAACCTTGGGGAGGAGGGGAGGGGGTCTTCCAAACATAATTTCATAAGGAGTAAAAGCTGCTTTATAAGCATGCATCTAGCTCTAAGAATAGCCAAAGGCAGCAGGCTGACCCACCCTTCACCAGTCTCCAACATCAATTTAGTCAGAGTAGATTTTAGAGTCCGAGTCATCAGTTCCACTTGCCCTAAGTTTTGGGGTCAGTAGGCACAGTGGAATTTCCAATTTATACCCAGTGTCCTACTGACTGACTTATAGAAGCTATGAAGGTGGGGCCATTGTCACATCCAATAGACATTGATAGTCTGAATCTGGGAATTAATTGCTGAAGAAGTTTCTTTGCCACCACATTGGCAGTCTTCACCCAGTACTACAGACCTCTGCTCGACCTGAGAAGGTATCTATGAAAACCAGGAGATAGCAAGAGCCACCTGTTCATGGTTTGATCTTTGTAAAATCTACTTCCCAGTGTTCTCCAGGATTCCTACCCAGGAATCTGACCCCAAGGGGTGCAGAGGGCCCCTGTCTGGGATTTACTTGTACACAGGTTGGGCCCCTAGGAGAGGCCTGGTGGATCAACTCCTGAAGCTTTGAAAAGCAGTATCTCGGAGCTAGAAGCTTGGCCATCTTGGAACCCCCCCAGGTGTGTGACCTGGATGAGCTGTCATCCTAATGCCTGCGGGGAGGTAGATGTGACCATCTAGACATTCCCACCAGCCTTGGGGATCTTTCTTTGCTTGCATCTGGCTTGCTTCTTTATTTTCCTCTTCATTGTAAGTGGGTCTAGTTGGGAACAAAGTGGAAGGAGGACTTATGGTAGGCAGGATGACTAAGGGTTCAGCTGGCCTCGGGGCTGCCTCACTGGCCTTGAGGTCTACAAGCTGATTTCCCTTAGCCTCAGGTGTATTGTCCTTTGGTGACCCCGAACATGAATGATGGCCACCTACTTGGGAAGCCATACCGCCTCTAAGAGTGACAATATCCCTCTTTGTTTTTGAAAGTCTTTCCTGCAGCCATCAGAAGCCCGTTCTCCTTGTAGATGCTCACATGGACAGGTAGAGTGACAAAGACTGACCTGCTGTCAGTGTACACATTTATCTTCTTTTCCTGTCCCCATCTCAAGACTCGGGCCAAGGCCATCAGTTCTGCCTTTTGGACTGAGGTCCCCTCAGGCAGAGGCTGGGCCCAAATGACTTGATCAGCTGTAGTCACAGCAGCTCCAGCCCTCCGAACCCACTTACCACCATGCTGCTTCCATCTGTGAAGAGGGTGGCATTTGCAGATGGCCTACTTCTCACTACATGTGTGCATTGTGGAGGGAGAGAAAGAGAGAGCTCTGGTGTCTTTATCTTACAAAAAACTCAATCACACCACAGGGACCCTACACACACCATCTCATGTAAACCCAGTGACCTCCTAGTGGCCCCATCTCCAAATACCATTCCACTGGAGGCAAGAGCTTCAACATATGAATTTGGGGTGAGAGTGGAACATAGACATCGACTCCATAACAGTACACAACTCTGTTTTTCTTTCTTTCTTTTTTTTT